ACACAGAAGGACTGTCGTCTCATGTGGGTGACATGAAGAGTCATCATGAATTTTGTCTGGCAGATGTTTTCTGTCTCACAGAAACATGATGTTTTGTGTCTCACAGGCTGCAGCTTGATGGTTAAAAATTGATAAAACGCAACCTACACCTGTCCTATTCAGATTTTCCACAACTGGCCAATAGAGGCCATATTTATGTCATGATTCTGTCTCTTCTGCTTCCTGTAACATGCTTTTATTCTGACACCACTTCCTGTTAAGGTGTCTGCAATGATTCAACTTTCACCTCTAGTACTCTAACACTCTGATGATTAACACTATCAAATCAGTATGCTGCTACAGACCAAAACCTGCAACACAATCAAAACTATCAATCAAAATTATTGCACAGGTGTGCCTTAGGCTGACCACAATAAAAGGCCACTCTAAAATGTGGTTTTATCACACAGTACTGCTGTACAGATGTCGCAAGTTTTGAGGGAGCGTGCAATTGGCATGCTGACTGCAGGAATGTCCACCAGAGCTGTTGCCCATGAATTGAATGTTCATTTCTCTACCGTTCCATTTCTCTATACGACAGCGTGTTCCAGTTCCTGCCAATATCCAGCAACTTCGCACAGCCATTGATGAGAAGAGGACCAACATTCCATAGGCCACAATCAACAACCTGATCAACTTTATGTGAAGGAGATGTGCCGCACTGTGTGAAGCAAATGGTGGTCACACCAGATACTGACTGGTTTTCAGACCCCCCAGTACAGTAAAATTGCACATCTTAGAGTGCCCTGTTATTGTGGCCAGCTTAAGGCACACCTGTGTAATAATCATGCTGTCTAATCAGCATCTGGATATGCCACACCTGTGAGGTGGATGGATTATCTCGGCAAAGGAAAAGTACTCACTAACACAGATTTAGACAGATTTGTGAACAATATTTGAGCAAAATAGGCCTCTTGTGTTCATAGAAAAAGTCATAGATCTTTGAGTTCAGCTCATGAAAAATGGGGGCAAACACAAAAGTGTTGCGTTTATAATTTTGTTCAGTGTATTTTGTTTCATTGACTCCAGTTTATAACACAGTATTTCTGTTTTCTCTTGTTAGGATCACCTCCATCACACTATCTCCACATCACCATGTGCAGATCTGTTGTTCTACAGCAGGGGTATTCAACTAAAATTTAAAGAGGTCCAGATAGAGAAAATTTCTTGAAGCAAAGGTCGAGAAGATCATAATGTCTAACTATTTAGTGTGATATATATTTAAGTAGCCTAGTAGTTGTATCAACACCTGCATGTAATCAGTACCTGTTAAATCAAATTAATTCAGTACAATTCAAACACCTTTTGACAATATTTATTGTAACATAAAATAGAACTGAACATATATGTATGACTGCTGATATGTATAATGTTCTCTCATTTACTAAATAAGTGCCACGGTTTCTGAACATATAAGACACACTGGTTTAGTGCTCCCAGTGGTAAGTATGAACAGAAATGAGTTTGTCCATTCTGAATGCTCTATTTTCGCTGTCTGGAAGAAATTAGGTGCCAAAAAACAGATGGAAGAAACCATAATAATAGTAATAATAATATAGAAAAAAACAAAGTGTGGATGCTGCTGCATCAGCATCCACACAACTACCTTTTAGCCTTCCATTTGTGTCGAGTCAGGTGTTTTCTCAAGTGAGGAGAAAAGTACTTATTCCCCTACCTTTTACAACACATTAAACTGTAAATGTGATGTTAAACCTTTCATCAGAGTTAATGACATTGCTCTCCTATATTAAGAATTTTAGGAGATATTAGGACAAAAACAGGGGAATTAAGAGGAACTGTAAACATTTTCTGATTGCTGATTAAGTCCTCTCATGACCGCTTTTATCACTGACATGTGTAAATCACATTCAAGGGTGCATTGCTTTTTTGGTGTTGGTAAAAGGTTACCACTTACAGGGCCAGCATAAAATTCTTCCCATTCAAGTTTCCACAACCTTTCTGTTAGCTGGCTCAAGTTGTGGGGTTGGGTCATGTTGTGGCCTTTGAATTTATTATAATAAATGTACATTTTATTTGTTTTATTTGGATATCTGAGCTCAAACTCAAGATGCACATTCAGCAGACAGATGTGTTAATAAATGTGAATTTTGTTGCTAGTAACTGTCATTTGTCCGCAGACTCCATCTCTTATCTAGCACTCCACATGCTTTGAGCCACTGCGTTTTACTATTTTCATAACAAAATGAGGAAACTCAATGTGTGTGTATGTTACGTGGTGTGTAGCTAAGCATTCATTCCTACATAATATTCTAACACAAGGTTAATACAGGAAAGAATTGGTGTTATAAGTAACTGTAGCTCATATTTCAGAATCAACACTCTGTCTGCTAACCTTGAAACAAAACAGACTAGAGCAGACTCTGAATCTTACTAAATTGCATTACTAACACATTAAAGTCTAACAATTACTAATATCTAACAATAGCTACAATTAAACCCATGGATAGCTGCAGTAGCACACTGAACAGACTGAAAAGGTGGAGTTGAAAAGGTGGAAAAACCTTGCTCTCATAAAACATATTACCTGTCAAACACAGGTGTAACTAATAGCTTGCATTGCATTAATGTTAGAGCAGTGCCATTGTTAATATTAATTCCACCTGTGCTTTTTCTGCTGTGTCAAGTCAAATGTCTGTGTCTGTGTCTGTGATTCTGAATAATTTTAGAACCATTAAAAAAACATTTTAACAGGAAGAAAATGAAAAACGAGCTGCTCATCAAACACATTACAGTAACATCATGTTGTGGCTAGAGTGTGACGCAGACTAAATTAATGCAGACAAATCATCCCAATGTAAGTAATCATTTAATATTACAATTATTCTGAACAGAGTAGTAGTTAACTAAGCCATCTAGTAGTTAGGGAAACGGAGAACAGAGTCAGAGTCACAGCCCAGTCAGTCTTGGTTACAAGGTCCAGTCAGTCAGAGTCTGTCAACCCACAGTCAGTCAGCATTCCCTCGGCCCCCCAGCCGGGTCTACGGTACACTTCTCATGGTAGCATTCTCATCCTCTCTTCTTCTCTTCCCTAGCCCCTTCAGGCTCACTCTTTTATCCGCAGCTTTCCTTGGGCTGTTACATCCATTTCTGAACTTAGCTTCCTATCTCCAGTTTTTGGAGACAACACCCTGAGATGTACTCAAAAACAGGAAACATCTTGACCAACTTATATAAGCTCATTGTTCAGCTCACATGAACTTAATGAACCCATAACCACTCTTCTCTTATATAATCCATATTAACATGTCACTTAAACCACTACAATCAAAAATATGAAGTGGCTCATTTTGTTCTTAAATATCCCATCAGTATGGCAGTGTAATGGCTCAAGTTTGGTTTAAATGGCATTTTTCATTGGTTTCTATTGTGCAATGTCAAATGCCAGTTAAACCAAACATCCACAGTTCATAGCATTATTTTAGTCAAATTAAACTTGGTTTCTTTTATTAGTCTTTTCAAAATAGGTTGACTAGCTTACAAAATGACATAAGTGGTTTGGAAACATTTGCACTACAGATTAGAATCAGAATCAGCTTTACTGGCCAGGTGTGCTGGACACACAAGGAATTTGACTCTGGTACAGCGGCTCTCAATGTGTATTTACATGTCATTATGTAAGGCACTGATGGTTTCTTGGGGACTGGGATCATGGTGGAGTGTTTAAAGCAGGAGGGGATTTCACACAGCTCCAGTGACCTGTTGAAGATAAGTGTGAAGATTGGGGCAAGCTGATCAGCGCACACTTTCAGGCAGGAGGGGGGGTCACAGCATCTTGGCCTGGTGCCTTTGTGATCCTTTGTTTTTTAAAGAAGCCACACACATCCTTTTCATAGATCATTACAAGTGGGGGGCTGGTAATTCTCGGGGGAGCGGCTGCTGGGTCTGAGGTGGGATGGGTGAGGGGGGAGTATTGTCTCTCAAACCACATTCAGGTCTTCTGCTAGTTGATGGTCCTCCAGGGGGATGGTTTCCTGTAGCCAGTGATGGTTTTCAGGCTTCTCTACACAGACGAGGGGTCATTGGCTGAAACATGATTTCTCAGCTTTTCAGAATAGCTCGTTTTTGCTGTTCTGATCTTACTAGTTAGTGTGTTCCTGGCCTGGCTGTACAGAATCCTGTCCCCACTTCTGTAGGCCTCCTCTTTGGCATGACAAAGCTGCTTAAGTGAACCAGGGCTTGTTGTTGTTGTATGTGCAGAAGGACTTGGTGGGCAAACACACATCCTCACAAAAGCTGATGTAAGATGACACAGTGTCAGTGAGTTTGTCCAGGTCTGTAGCTGCAGTCTCAAATTAGATTGCTAACCACTGTTAGTTGTTAATTGTTACAAACCTGCCTACTTCTCAGATGAATCTTTCTTGAGCATAGTGTAAGATATGGTTCTTGTTACCATTGCTAACTCTGAGAGACGAGCCAGTCCAAGTAACTTCAAAACAGTGCTGATTTATTCAAAGGATCACAGGTAAAATTAACATTACACGCTCAGGCATGTTCACCTTCTATGTTCCCCAAGGTAGATGGACGAGAATGAACATTGGTGAAGTTGTTTGAGTGCTGTCCTGAGGCTTGTCCATCCTGTCAGTCTTTGACCAGAGTCAGTCCTCTCTCCATCTCGGCCAGCGTAACCATTTTTCTGAATCTGCCTCGACTTTACGTGTCTAAAACTAGGTGTTACTTTGACAGCTGCCCACCCACTCACAGATTGGACACACATGCTGTCCTGCAAACACCCAATCCACACATTGTTTGGTGGTTTTCCAACAAATTTATCAGTCTCTGATTGTCCTGCAGTATATGTGTCCTTAAAATTAAGATACATGCTGAAGCATTAAGGGCACTGAAATGTTTTAATTAATAAATGTGAATAAACAATCAATAATACATATGTAATGCAGGATGTAAATAAATAAATAATATTCTGTATTTCTCTGCCCCTCCAGTGCTTTGTGGAACCCCTCCCACGGTGGATAATGCCTTCCTGATTGGTCGGAAGCGTTCCCACTATGACATTCATTCTGTAGTGCGTTACCAGTGTGCTGCCGGCTTTCTGCAGCGCCACGTGCCCACTGCTAAATGTCGTGCCAACGGCAAGTGGGACCGGCCTAAAATCATCTGCATGAAATGTAAGTTTTACACAGCAAGAGCAGGGCGGCAGACAATGAGACTTAAGGCATTATTTCATTTTCATTATTTCATTTTTTCATCCAAAGAGCATGGGCGCTGCATTAGCAAGCACATCATCTTCAGTCCATATGCCCAAATCCGGAGTTGCTGTCGTCATATGCATTCAGGCATCTCTGTTTTCATGATTAAAATAATTGCAAGCAAAAAGATTACTGTTGTTACAGATTGAATAGATTTAATTAAGTCTCCTGTGCTTACTTAGAAGTGGCAGAGCCTCCATTAAAGTGCTTTATTGTCAAGGTGGATAATTGATAATTGTGTGGATGCTGAAAAGCATCCACACTGTGTTTTCCTGTTCTTTATTTATTATTATTATTATTCTGGGATCTTCCATCCATTTTTTTGGCATCTGTTTCAGTAATTGATTTCAGGGTGATCCTTCAGCATATCAGCATCGACATACATTTTTGACAGGACATGCATTTCTCTAGGTTATTATTCTGGGATCTGAATAGTTGCTTTTCAGCTGTTAAGGCCCGGGTTAACAACGACTGCCACCAATGCTGTTAACCTACAGGGTGCTGGCCGAAAATTGGATTACTGTTGGTCGAAGAAGGAGAGGAGGCAGAAGGATTTGTAGACAGAGAGAGATGCATGAGTATAGGTCGGAGAATAGGAATTAACATTGGCACAATGACAGGGAAAGGTAGCGAGCTGACAGACATGATGGAGAGAAGGAAGGTAGATATTGTGTGTGCAGGAGACCAGGTGGAAGGGTAGCAAAGTGCATAGTATTGGAGGGGGATACAAACTGTTTTATTATGGTGTGGATCGGGAGA